TCAAGTATTGATACATTTTTGTGGCACTCGGATGAATACTTAACCCACTTCTGTGACCTTCCTCAAGAATACTCTTCTTAGTTTCTGGCACATCTGGAACACACACCCTATCTCTAAACCTCATCACACCATTCTCATTAACCCGAAAATCACCTCCGTTACCTTGGTTGATTAACGTGAGACGATCCACCAAACTCAAATCATATTTTTGACCTTCTCTGATTTCTTGGAGAATACCACTAGTCAACTTTAGCATACCCAACTTCACACTGTTAGGAGTCTCTTCACACACTAGACTCATATCTCTGAATTGTTCAATACTATTCAAAAACACACTAATAATTATCAAAATCCTAAAAGGCTCAACTGGTGGACTATTGGTTACTTTTCCGAGCAACGAAACTTGGACTTTGTACAGAAACCCTAGTAAGGAGATTTTATCCGACTCTTGTTCGTGGCTTAGTTTAGGACATCTCGCACACACACAACTTCCTTTTGGGCTACTTTACAACGATCTTATTTATTTCATGCAATCCCGTGTAACTTACCTGTACCCTGCTCCCATTCTGATGTACGCATTCATTTTACTTTGATTGTGGTTTGTTTACTAGGAGCATCCCTAGGAAATAGCATAGACTAAACCACTTTCAAACTAACTCTCGATTCGCCGTCGAGCCAATTTCAAAACGCCCCTGTAAGTCAAGTGCCTTTTGCCTCGCCATAAACCTAATGCATACACTTGCACCTTTCGTCATGGTTTCATTACTAGGAGCACCCCTAGGGACTAGTATTGATTCTCACTCTCTTGCAAACCCTTGATTCAATGTCAAGTCGCTTTCTCTTCAAACTTGTAAGTCGAACGCCTTTTGCCTCGCCATCAATCTCTTTTCAACCGATCTGATTCAATAGTTTTTCAAACATTTTCTTAATCAACTTAAAAGAGAAGAAGATTCTTGGAGTCTATAATTCCTTGGATCTTCGAATGAATGGCTCTTAGGGTATACGCCTTGGGTTGTTATTCATTCAATCTTTCGTCTTTAAAACGTTTAACCTTTCTCAAAACCTTTCTAATCAATTCTCGAAAGAACTGAGTTCTTGGAGTCGCACATTCCTTGGATTCTTGAGTGACATCTCTCGGGGCACGCCCCATTGGGTGGTATGTCATTCAATCTTTCATTCCTAATCTCTTTCATGGTCGTACCCACAAACTACGGATGCTCTGATTCTTCATTCATTTGAATTAAAGATACGTAGGCACAATATTGCGATGATCTTGGCGAGTACACTTCTATCCATCTTCCGTTTTCCCCTTTTCCAAACCTTTCTCGTAGTCGAACTATAAAAGCTTTTATTATTCATTCTCGTCCGAATGAACATACATAGGCACAAGGGTCCCAATCCTTGGCGAGCACCCTAACCTAAAACCACCCATTTCCCCCTAGTATCGATTCCTTTTATCTTATGGTTTCACATTTATCATTGAGAAGAAAACAAACAAGCTTAGATAGCATTCATCCCAAATCGAACTAAGAGGTTCCCGTTAAGTACAACGAACGTAGGGGGTGTCAATACCATCCCTTTACGTAACCGACTCCTGAACCCATAATATGGTTGTGATGACCATGTTCTTATCTCTTTAAAGATTTTCTCGATATTTTCTTTCCCTCTTTTGGAATAAATAAAGTTCGGTGGCGACTCTGTCGAACCGTTTTCCGCGCCTTTCGCGCGAGGGTCGTATTCTCGATGATTTTTCGAGATGCGATAGTTATCCTTGGAGTTTAGTTGTAAGCATTGATTTGCATGTACTTTTAATATTTGTACCATACGTATGTTTTTCGTTTGTAAAAACTTATTGAGCATGATTTCTTGGTTATTGCTTTTGTTTCTTCGAGTTGATTGATTCTTGTTTGAGGAAAACAAGTTTAAGTTGGGGAGAGTTGATAAGTGCTAAATTGTACTGATTTTGAGTGTGAATAATTGACACTTATTGGCTTGATTCGTTAGTTTTTTGTTAATAATCCCCCTTATTTGTGTACTTTTTGTATATTTTACATTATAGTGTATATATATTGCGTATCATGTAAATATCATGGAGTTTAATTGTTTTTCTCTCATTTTTATAGTTATACAAGCAATTATTTTTTTTCATTTTCTTATAGAGCATTGAATAAGCTTTCCAATACTTCCAACCGCGCGTAAAACAAAGTTACGATTCAAAAGTTATGGTCGAAACAAGTGCTGGTCTGCTGTCATGTTCGATGTGGGATTTGGAGCCGAACGAACTTGCCAAGAGTTTGCACTGCGAACTCAAGGCGAATAAAATTTTTTGAGAAGTGTGGAAAATACTGTTTTGGCAGTAGCTAAGGCGACATATGTTCGCTGGGCGAATGGGAGTTCGCAGTGCAAACACGAGAACCCATTTTTTCCTATTTAAGTCACTTTTCAACATTTTTTAGGTTATGTTGTTGGGAACTTTTTACCCCAACTTAATCAAACACATTCTTGAGTAGATTTAGCTTAGAAACAACACATGGAGTGTATATCTTGACGATCCTGAGTCAAATCCACTTCAATCGGAGTTGACAAACCGTGAGATTTGTGTTCTTCTTCCTTCCTCTCTATGTATTTTTTATTTGTTAGGGTTTTGTATGTAAGTTTATCTTGATTGTGTGTATATTTATGGATCTTTGTATAAAATCTTATTTACAACTCTTTAGAGATGTCATCTTTGATTTTTTACTTAATAGGTTTGGATTGCTATAAATATATATGGTTCGAACTCGACCTAAGATGAACATCTGTTAGATTCTAAACTCTAGACATAGATTTTGGTCTAATATTCACGTGGGTATCGATTCTTAATGCTCTGTATTATCGAGTTGCGTGAGACATCACTGATGATGCGATGCAGTTGTTCTCTCAACTTTACGTTAGACATAACCTCTGTTGTGAGCGATACATGATGATATGAGTGATTTAGGTGGCGTGCATTTGATCCATAGATTTTTTAGTACATGATGGGTAGAACGAAATACAACTCATGACGAGTTTTCTCATTTCTTAAGAATGTATTTATTTTCTTGTTTTATGTTTTTCCTTTTGCATTTTTATCCCAAACCATTTAAACCCAAGCTTAGAGACGTAGAGATAGTCGAACGACATTCTTTCCCTTGTACTGATCCCTATGGAGACGATATAAATCTCGGAGGGAATTCTTCCAAAAATAATATTTTTGCTTGTCGCTTTACCTCTTCAACAATGTTTCTAGTGTAGGAAGACAAAACATCTGGTTGCTGATTGTAAAGATAATTTGGTGACTTGCTACAACTGTGGCGACCCAAGACACATCAATACACATTTACAGAAGCCGAAGTCAGCTAAATATGGAGGGAAAGTGTTTGCTCTGTCGGGGACTCAGACTTCCAGTGACGACATGTGATTAGAGGTATATGTTACATTAATAGTACTTCTTTGATTGCTATTGTTGATACTGGTGCTACTCACTCATTTATTGATGTTGATTGTGTGAAAAGGTTGGGTCTTGTAGTGTCCTTCATATCTATCGATACTCCAACAAAGTTACCAAAAGTTCTATCTATCACGAGCTTAGTAGATGTTAGATCAGAGAAGATTGACATACCTATGCTGCTAAACTATTGGGCGATAATATTCTTGAGCAAGATCAAAGAACCTGACCCAAACTTGAGTTGTGTTGTTCTATTGCAGACATGGAATGAAGTCTTTGGCACAAGGAAAGAGTTTTATAGACCTGGTCATAGGTTCCTTGCACCTGAAGCGCACACCTTTCGAACATCTTCGAGTGAGGTGAAGGTAAATTCAAAAAAGCACTTGTCGAGCGATACCACACATCTTTTCCTTAAATCCTTCCAGAAAATAGAGAGCTTAGATTTCGACTTATTACTAATAAATGTTGTAAACCTTTTGACTAAAAGATTATTTGTCTTATGGTATTGTCGTCGAAAGATAATCCTTTTTTAATACTGGTTGAGGAAATTGCGATGTCCCTATGTGACACACTATTAAAAGCATATGCAAAAGATTTTTGTGTTAAAAAATGTAGTTAGACCTAACTCAACCATACAAAACCAATTAATAGAGTGAGAAACTCTTAATATTTTATTTGAGAACTTGCGTTGGTGAACTCGTGTTTGATTTTAAAAATTGGGTGCGAGACATAACAAAGGTATGCTCAAAGTTCCCATGGTTAGATTACGTCTAGTCTAAAAGCTTATTCAAAAGTCATCATTAAAGACGATGAACATTGTTAGGTCAATTCATACATCGTTCATATTAAAAAATATTAAAATTCATTTTCAAATATTTATCATAAAAATAAAATAGATTTTTTTTTTATGAATGTTTCTTAAAAAATAAATGAATTCATAACAAACTTACCACAAATATTAATTAATATAAATTACAAAAAGTTGTTCAGATTTAATTAAGAGTTTTTAAAATTTAAATAAAATTAAAAAAAAAATTAAATTTTAATAGAGGTGTTGTGTGAAAGGCCGAACTATAACATAAAAAAACTTTTAATCTCTATAAAAAAAACTTTTAATCTAATGGTTATAAATCATATTCTACCATGGACCATATGTTGTGTTGTTCCACCTAAGCACTAGTCCACTCCAATATATTCTTAACCCAGCCAGTGATTGGATTACGTGTTGCTGGGTTTTGTTTTGTGCCGCTTCTACTTTTTTCTTCAGTATACTTTGTTTCTCTCTTTTCAGGTTAGGAATTTCTATTTCAGGTTTTGTTTTCTTCTTCATCACCGTTTGTCAGGTTCCACTTTGCAGTTTTTGTTACTTGATTTCTTAATTTATAGGAATTCAATTTATTATTTGTATCATTAGACTGTTTGTAGGGTTTATATTGATCACTAGTATTAAGAAATTTTATTTTTAATTCAGTGATTCATTACTTACTATTTATTCTTATTTAGGATTTATTTATTTATTTAATTTCAGTTTAGAATGGGAAGTTATGTTGATGATGATTGGGAGTTCGCGTCTTCCCCGTCAAAGGAAGCTTGGACGGTGGTTTTGGTTGGACGGACGGGCAATGGAAAGAGTGCAACCGGTAACAGTATTCTTGGAAAAAAGGTCTTCACATCGAGGAGTGGCTTCTCCGGTGTCACGGCCTCTTGCCAAATGCAGACAACTGAGCTGAATAATGGACAGATTGTCAATGTTATTGACACTCCAGGTATGACTATGTTTTTGTTATGCGTTTAGATTGTGACTATTGAACTATTTGTGTATCCTTTAACCTGAAAAGTTTTGCAGGATTATTTGAGTTTTCGGCTACGGGTAAATCTGAGTTTATTGGCAAAGAAATAGTCAAGTGTATTGACTTTGCTAAAGAGGGAATCCATGCCATTCTGGTAGTGTTATCCCTTAGATCAAGATTTAGCGAGGAAGAAGAACATGCTCTGAGAAGCTTGCAGATATTATTTGGAAGTAAGATCGTTGATTACATGATTGTTGTCTTTACTGGAGGAGATGAATTAGAAGATAACGAGGAGACGTTGGAGGAACATTTAGCTCATGAATGTCCACAGCCTTTAAAGGTTTTTATTAGTATTGTATTATAGTTTTACCGTGTTTGCGTGTTGTTGTAAGTCTTGTACGTTGATCTTTAATTGATTTCAATAATAATGTAGGAAATTCTTTCTTTGTGCGGGAATCGTCGTGTTCTCTTTGACAACAAGACTAAGGATGAAAAGAAGCGATCTAGTCAAGTTCAGGAACTTCTTGAGTTTGTAGGCTCGGTAGTATCATGTAATGGTGGACGACCCTATACAGATGAGCTTTTTACAGAATTAAAGGTGAATTTTTTGCTTTCACAATCTTGTTTCTTAAGTCATGAAGAAGCATCGTGATATTCATCTTTTGATTGCAGAAAGGAGCAATGAAACTGAAAAGCCAACAAAAAGAGGTTAATTCCTCTAAAGAATACTCAGACCTACAAATATCTGAGCTCAAGAAGCATATGCAGCAATCATATGATGACCAGCTAAAGCAAATTACTGAGATGGTACTTTTTATTTTCTAATATGAATCATCATTTCGATTTGACTTAATTTTCCCTAGTGTATTGTGTTTGATCAATTGTATGGTTTTGTAGATTGAGTCAAAGTTGATGGAGGCAACTACAAAGCTCGAGCAACAACTGGCACATGAGCAAGCTGCAAGACTAGAAGCAGAAAAAAGTGCACAGGTAGCTCAAAAGAAATCAGACGAAGAGATACGAAAACTAAGAGAACATCTTGAGAAGGCTCATGAAGAACTCCGCAAACGAGGTGATAAAGGTTGTGCTATTCTATGATAGAGTAACTACTTCAAACATTTCAAGAACGGTTTAATTTTTCTTTTGAATCATGACATTTTATTGCCTTTGTTAGTATTTGTTTTTGTGTATAAATAAATAGTCTGATGACGATGCCATCGTTACTATTATGTTGACACTATGCATTATGGGTTGATTTTTATTTTGGTATTGAGTGGTCTTTTTTTGGAACTTTTTAAAGCAATTTTCATGTTTATTTTAATTTTTTTTTGCCTACAAATGAATTCAATACCATCCATTAGTATTATTTGATTTTAGAAGAATAGTTAATCCGAATGTGTTTTTAAATGCGAGTTCTTAAGGATGGTGCTGTAAACCTTTTTGTACATTTCATCTTCATGTTTATTATTTAGTAATTCCAATGTTTTTAGGTTCTGTTTCTATCCTGGAAGTTCTTTTGTTTATTCTTTAGTAACTCCACTGTTTTTAGGTTTTGTATGTATCCTAGAGGTTCTTTTTACTTGATTTAATTATATTCTGTGTCCAATATTTAATGTGTATTGGGAAAATGGATTATATAGAGTGAGATTCCTCATTTTACATGTCGGTTTTGTGAGAATTTTGTGAGAATGAGTTATGTTAAACTCTAATTCTATTATAGTATCACGAGTCTATCGATTTAGACTACTCACCATTTATATATGCGCATCAAGTCCAATAATACTGGACACAAGTGGATGTATTGGAAAAATTAAATTTCACCTATAGGTGGGGTACTTATCACATAAGTTGTTAAGGTTTTATTTGGATATAGACATGAATTTTGGGGTTTTAGTTATTGTTTTAGACCCTTTAAGAGAAAGGTAAAATTGTCATATTAAAACATTATATGAATCTTAATTAAAAATAAATTTTACTAGATTTGAATGGAAGGAAAATCAAAATGTTGGTTTAAAATCACTTTTGTCTCAATATTTTGTTGAATTTAAATTTTAGTCTTCTCATTTTTCAATATTGGATATTTGATCCATATTTATTTTACACTTTTTTCGATTATCCACTTCCAATAAAGATGAGCGATGACGCTGAAAAACAAAGTTTTAAAGACGTCAGGTCATTGGTGGAATCATTGAGTTATTGGCTTAATAAATAAAAGAACATAACTTCATATTTCCAAAAGTTGTCTTTATATTCAATAAAAAAGTTGTCTTTAATTATGTGTCTTTATATTCAATAAAAAAGTTGTCTTTTATCAAAAGATTTTAAATGTGTGTTATAAAGAAAATGAAAAATATTGAAGACCATTTTTACCATAGTTTAATTATGAAACTGTGAGATTTATAGCAAACGACTGTAGTATAATAGTTTGCTATGATTCGTAGTGAAATTGACTATTCTACGTTTTATCGTCACTCAATCAAAGAGTATAGTTATTTTATTGTGTATGTAGATGCTATTATCATACCTAATAGTAATCAGTAGGGAATACTTCAGTTGAAACATCTCTCAAATCAATTTAAAACAAAAGATTTGGGTAAACTCCGCTATTTTTTGGATATTAAGGTAGTTCAATCTAGAGATGGTTTGGTAATTTCTCATCAGAAATGTGCTATGAATATTTTTAAAGAAATAAGTTTGTTGAAAACTAAACTAACTGATACTCATATGAATTTAAGTGTAAAACTCCTACCCAATCAAGGATAACTTTTATCTGACTCAAGAAGGTATAGGAGATTGATTGAAAAGTTAAATCATCTCACAGTCACATGTCAGAACATTTCTTTTGCAGTTAGTGTTGTAAGTCAATTCTTAAATTCTCCTTGCCAAGAACACATGAAGGTTGTTATCTGGACTCTACGATACATCAAAGGTGCTTCAGGAAAAAGTCTCATTTATGACAATAAAAGATATACTCAGATAGTTGGATATTGTGATGTTGATTGGGCAGACTCACCCATTGATAAACGATCCACCTCTAGATATTGTGTACTTGTTGGACGAAACTTGATATCTTAGAAAAGTAAGAAACAAAATGTAGTTGCAAGATCAAGCGCTTAGATAGAATATAGGGCGGTGACACTAGTAACATGTGAGCTCATTTGGTTGAAGCAACTGCTCAAATAACTTTAGTTTGAAAAAGTAAGACCAATGACACTTATTTGTGATGACCAAGCTGCATTACATATTGCTCCAAATCTAGTTTTCTATGAGAAGACCAAACATATTGAGATAGGTTATCACTTTGTTAGAGAGAAAATTGAATCATGAGACATCGTCATAAGCTTCGTTAACTCTAATGATCAATTGACATACGTGTTTACAAAATCCCCACGAAGTTTCAAAACTAACTATATATGAGGCAAGCTTGGTGCATTTGACTTATATGCTCAAACTTGAGGGGGAGTGTTGATATTTATATATATTAAGATTATTTGTATATAGAAAAATTTCACATCGACTATTGCTTGTAATTAGCTATAAATCTCTCTATGTATAAATCAATCTCTATAGTACTATTTAAACACAAGGTTTATTCAAAGGTCTCTTAATCTCTCATATTTTAATAAGAACTAAGTTATTAACTTAGAAAAAATAAAAATAGTAAATAGTATGTTAATTAGTCTTATGAGTAATTCAAATTTAATGTGTTTCATTGGCATTGAATACTATATTATATCCATTTGCACTGGGTACTATTTTCTAACCATTTGCATCTTTAGTAGCTAGGTATTTTTATCATTCCCTGTATAATAAAATATGCATTATACTTTTATTATTTATTATAAAAGATGAAGGTGAGGAAAATACACAAGAAGGGGAGGTTGAGTTGTGTTTTCTAAATTCTTTACTATTTTTGAATAGAGTTCAAATTCTAAACAAAGGTTCAGAACCTGATAATAGGTGCATCAGATATCAACAGAAGTAAATAAATAGATAAAGAACATAAAAATTTTATCCTGTTTCCTCCCAAACTGAGAGTTGTCCAGTCCCTTGCGGCGCAAGATATTTTCCACTATAATTAAATCATGACTAAAATTGCTTATGCACTTGAGCATAAGACTTTTCTTTACTCATACCCTTAGCCCGAGACTTCCTGCTTAAACCCCATAGTTTCAAGGCTTCTTACTTAGATCGCAACTTAAGACTTTTCTGCTCAGATTCCATGAGTCCAAGACTTCCTTACTGAAGCCTCTCAGGCTCAAGACTTCCTTGCTCATACCTTCAGACCCAAGACTTCCTGCTCAGGTTCCACAAATCCAAGACTTTCTTACTCAGCCCGCAACCTAAGATTTCCTTGCTCATACCCTCAAGTACAAGACTTATGCTCAGACTCACAATCCAAAACTTGCTTACTCAATCAACAAATGATCAAGACTTTTAATCCTCTAGCACACATCAGAGGACTTACTTGGCTTAAGCTTCTCAGCAAGAGACTTTGATGCTCAATCACATAGTAAGAGACTTTATCTAAAGTACTAAACAACCTGATTAATAGAACCAAGAACAAGGTGTAATTGATACAAAATCAGAGGTACAAGGTAATCACCATAACAAATACCTTAAGCATTAATGATTTCTAAGATATTCAATGTTTAAGAAATATTAAGGCTTTGTATAATTTACAACAAATAATAGAATTTTTGTATACTTGATTGTATTACTTATTGTTGATTTTGTTATTCCTCCATATAGAAGTGTGAAACACTCATATCCTTCTTGGCTTTTCTTCTCTATTTGCTCCTTCTTCCTTGTTGAAGATTCAGATTGAATCTTCAGCAACTTATATAGCAGTTGTAGAAGACTAGCCATTGGAAGAGATAACTTGTACAAGTGTTTTTATTTCTCTTTAGCACAAGAGGTGTTGAAGATAGATACACCAAAAAATATTAATCCATTGTGTAGCTTGTTTAACTATTGCGTCTTCCATGTAATCTTGTACTATAGATTTGTTAAGAGTAGATATTCGTAAAGTATGTCAACTCTTCTTGAGCCTTGTGAACATAGACTCTAGCCGACAAACTGATTTGACAATGCAACTTGCTTTATGCAATACAGATAACTTTAGATTAATTACTAACTCTGAATGTTCACCAAAACCTGGTACATTTACTAAGTGTAGAGACAATATGTTGCTCTTCTGATGCTGAGGCCTTCAGCTTCAGAGTTTATGCCAGACATCACTTAGAGAGTGTTCTCCAGGTTCTGATCCACTAGATGTTAGTAAGTCATCTCCTCTCAAATGCATCCTTATATCAGATTCTGTATGTATTCTGTTTACGTTTTAGAACCTGCGTACTTGGAACACACATTAGGTAACACCATTGTTCTTTCAATACTTTGTTATCATCAAAACCTAAAGGATAAATGTCATGAATAAATCTTGTTCTAACAATCTTCCCCTTTTTGATGACGACAAACATAAGTATTTAAAGAACAATGTTGGTCAATAATAATTTTCCTGACAACATCATGATACGAGGCTTGAAAGCTCCTATAGAGTCTAATAGTCCAAGGTTGAGTTCTGTAAACTCCCCCTAAGTACTATATTCGAGAAAAAAATATTTTAATTTTCTTAGCAACATTAGAGTCTATGGTTTGTAAGCTCCATCCGAGTCTAACAGTCCAAGATTAAGGTTTGTAAGCTCCCCCTTAGTTCTATATTCAAGAAAACTAAAATATATCACCCAGGAAAAATAACCAAAATAACAGAAAATTAAAAGTACTCTTATAAATGAACAAAATAAATAAAATATAAATGAACAACATTAAATTTGAAGGGTTCAGAATATTTATTAAATACTCTTATATTTTTTCCCCCTTTTGTCACATAAAAAAGATTGAAAAAATGAGAGATGACAAGTAAAGCAAATGTTGAACAGAAGTGAAGTGTTCCAAGATGGTCAATGTTACTTTATAGGGTTAACAGTAGTAAGAGTCAAGTAATGTTAGACAGGAGTGCAGTGTCCCAAGATGGCCAAAGATCAGTTTTCATTGGTGCATAGATTCCATATTTGTACTCGAACGAATACTCAAAGCTC